AATTCGTATCTGAACCGAACGGAGCGTGCATAAACCGAGGCACAGATAGGAACATTCCTTTCGCGTTGCGTCATCACCGATCACCGAATTTATCCCCCAAATCGTCCAGCAATCGTTGGAAAGCAGTTATTATTTGGATGGTATGGAATGGCAGCTAATGCGACGCCGTGACGTCACGCGTTATTCGATCATTGACAAACGACATTCCAGCGCCAAGTGTGAACAGAAATGTACAGCGTTGAAACGCGCATCACGTCACTGTACCAAGGCTGAAGCCCGTCTTGGACTTTGAGAATTTATATTTGGTGTAAGACATTCCCCAGACACATCGAACAGTCGGAATGAATCGGCTCGTCCGTAATTTAATGGCAAGATATTTTTATTTCGAAATTCCCTTCGTATAGAAACAGTCATAAGTGAATATTCGATTAATGTGCACGCTGTCGATATGACGAACGAATGGGATTACATAAACATTGAAATATAGGGTTTCTGTCTGAATCACGATGCATACCAGCCGTCTTCGTCACGCCAGTGGACGGCGCGTGCGACAAAATGTAATGAATATCACGACTCAACATTAATCGTTATTGGAAAGTCACTGTCGATACAAAAACGTAAATCATTAGCTTTTGTAATTTACAATCTTAATCAAGTAAAACTGAGAGCTCCTAAAAAAACTTGGAAACCGAAAACGAACAGTGGAAATAGAACGAAAAGACAAAATTATTTACAACTTGTAGGTTTTCAAGATATCAATTGATTACGAGAGAAATTGGCAAAGCTGATAATATGACCTAGAATTACTAGACTGTTTATGTACTTTATAGGCCTCTAGTCGGTAATAGTTTTATCATATATACAGAAGTTTATCATCATCTAATAGAAGAAATATTGGTCGGAAATTCCACTTATTTGCAACTTTATTAGGGACTTCATTATTATTTATAATCTAAGGCGATTAAAATAGATGTTGTCTATTGAATGTCAATTGTGACACGTGTCAATGTCATTTAAGTATGGTTTATTTATTCAATGTAAGCCTAATTAACACCTAGCTTCAAGCACATATATAAACTTTTACATGTTTACGTTCGCAAAATTATCTGAAGTTTTTACCTTACATATTAAAAATTTAAAGTAATTTATGAGGTTCTAATTTTTAACACGGCCAACTTGTCATTTATCATAGACAAGAACATTTTACACAGAAAAATTAAGGCCATGAATGTAATCAATGTTAGATGATGATTGCCCGCCCATCGGTGCTACATAGATACTTTCCATTTCCCAATAGAAAGTTAAATTTTGCAGCTATGTTTCTGATGTTATTAGAGCAACAATGTTTGCACCGGAAAATATGGTTAAACATTACCCAAACAACCTGGTATCGATTCATCCACGGATTGAATGGAGTCAACTTCGGAGAATCATTCCAAGCAAATTCTTTTCGCCATTGTTTCATGTACCATCTTACTTCCCAAAACAACGCTTTGATTGTATTAAGATCCGCGTGTCAACTTCAAAACAAGACAACAGCTTTTCACAAAATAATATGTTATTAACTTCATTAACGCTTCGCATTAATCCTGCATCCAAAATGGCCGCTTTATTTTATTCTACGATATTATCAGCATTTTAAAACGGTGTTAGAGTAAACTCGGCCAGTTTTCTATCACCTTATCGCTTTTACAGGTTGTTTGCATTCCAAAACGCTTACGATCTTAATACCGACATAGTTTTAACGCTTCGTAATTTCAAATAGCACAGTACTACCCGGAAACAAGGTACGTTTTGCGGTTTTGAGTTACGCCTACGAATTCCGATAAACATCTGAAATGATTTATGTCAAATCAAAACTGGCCTCTAGAATTTCCTACGCCTTATATGGTTTGGCAATTTAATCAAATATTAACAACTTTGTCAAATATCGATCGATGATCTACGATCTTTATTAATTAAGCACCTTGTTAAACTCCAAAACTTCTGGGGAATTGTAAATGAGTTTTAATAGTTACAAGTCGGATAGCGGTAAAATGTCGCTTTCATTCCATCATCTAACAGATTGGAATCGCACGTCTTCAGTAGCCATTAAGTTGTCTCGAAATATTAAGAGGAAATATTACTTAAAGCCAGCATTCTTTAGAGGCCGGCGTCTCTCCGCCGCGTCGACTAGATAATCAACGGCTACCGTATGCAAATCAAAATATAAATGCTTATTAAATTTTATATCTTCAACGTTTCCTATTTAGTCATTTTATGGTCGAACACATTCTTGTGTCAGAGGCCACATTTCGTTAATCGTTTTGTAATCTCATTTGGGCATATTACCCATATTTGGTTTGTGTAGAAGAAACAATCAGATAATACATTGAAGATCTATTGTTATTTTACGCTTCTGTGAGTACATTAAATCAAATAGATCTAGCAATGAACATTACAGAAAACATTACGGTTGAATAAATAACCTCGTGACGGCATATAGATAAGAATGGAATTTTATTTTTGATTAGAAATAGGAGAATGGTTGCCTTTATCGCGTAATTGTATAGATAATATTGAAGGATGTCTAATTTACACGCATTTACTTTGTAACTTCAGTATTTATCTAATTGTTATAAGATACTTAGGTACAATTTATTCACTCTTTACCCAATTTACTTAAATGGATTAAAGTAGTCCAATAACAATCCTACTCTGAGTAAAATCAATAAAGAAAATATTTAATGCTTTTTTTAAACTGCGCAAAATAACACAGATAACATTAGCATAGTAATAACGTCACATATAATCGTCATGCTAAATCGTCAGCCACGCCCTTTCATTATTTGCGCTTTTCTTGAATTACAAAGGGAATGCGAAGTTGGAGACAAGAAACGCAACGCGCCTAGCCCCTTCAACGTCACGCTTGAAGGCGCGCGTAGTGCGTGGGAAGCATCCACATTATGTTCTACACATACTTAGGTTACACAATCTTGAAGACAGCTACGTTACAAGACCAATACTACTTATAAAATGTAAATTAGCTGCAAGCCTCGCAAAGTAAACAATAAAACATTGCCTATTATCTGCGTATCGACACCTCGGATAGAAGAACTTACATTCTCACGAGTATTTGCAGTTCACGTAAATTTCACCCGCATAAAATGTGTTAACACGCTGTGTGGAACAATGCATTCGAATGATATAATTAAAGTAATCAACACGGTGTTCTCAGTGAGTTAATCGACGATATCATTGTCTTCCCCGCTTCCTTGCTTAACGAGACAAAGGATGGTTTTTCCTCAATTTACAACGTTGACATGCCATCTTTCATTAGCGGTTGAGATTCACACAATTCTAATAGGATCCAAGATAGAATGTGTCATGAGCGTGTAATTAATTTTCTCTTTATAGGACTATATTATTGTTGGCTGGGCTATTTTTAGCATTATTAAATTGGCTTAGTTGCTCGGTTTATTGTTCACATTTTGCAAGTTGATCGTTGATGCACATGTTACTTATAGAATTCTTATCGTCAAGACTCTTGTGAATAGCATTTGAACATGCTAATTACAAGATTCCACAATTAATTACTACTAATTAAACAGACTGGGCTTTATACGTTGAAGACAACATAATGTTTCCTGTATTTATAGCCAATTTTATTGAATCGTCTGTACTGAAACCAGATCTTTTGATTTTGCAGTTTTAAGCTGCAATAACATTAATAGATATTTCTACAAGTGCTTAGTACTAGAATCATTTTTGTGCATCTACAATATGTTTAGTTTATTTTTTTTGTAGTTTTTTTTGTAACTTGATCCGCTGCAAATTTTGGTAAAATATATGGGAAAAGTAGCTACCTAAATTGCCTACTTTCCATTTATTAAGAGCCTTTTTACTGGGTCATTTGTCGTAAATCATTAACGATATATGCGAAACTAACAACTACACATAAATTCCAATTTACTAAGACGTAGCCATGGCGCAAAAAGTCACTCTTTTTAAATGAGTGAAATAGCTCAAACATGATCTCGTCTTGAAATTTTTCATCCCATACACGGTTTACCGTTGCAATGACCTATTCTAGACATGACATCTACTAAATACTTCCTAGATAAAGATAGCTGTCCTGCCTCGCTTAATTGGATCACAAAGTACGTTATACAGTTATGTGCACAGTTGCAGGTGTCATCTTCGAGGAACCTACGAAAGACTGCAGGTGCCGAATTAATACTAAGTAGATACTAGACATGATCGGCATTTAAGAGGGATGTGTTGTGCACCTGCAGCTCGAGGTGGTATGATGTTGGGGGGTTCGCGGGGCGGGGAGGGGCCGTGCGCCGCTTTAGAAAGGCGCGACCATCGCCGCAGGCCAGAGCCGCATTCTACGGCCTGTCATTCACACCGTACAACTTGCCTATGCAATGCATTCCATCTCCTGCCGCGCTCACCGTCTCCACGCATTGCACTCTACGTACATACGCGCACTTACGAAATATTCGATCATCCACACTGCTAGCCGTATTCAAACATACGCATAAACGCTTCATCGAAGTATATCTGCGCCAGTTCAACTAGCATTGCTATGAACCAGTTCTGTGGCCTCATTAGCCGCGTTCCAACTCCGTTCACCAAATAAACGGACTCTAACGAAATCGAGACTTCGAACACAATGCGCATTCCAAAGGATAACAAAATGATAACCACAATTATTTGTGTTTAGGTCATTTGTTGTTAGTCAATAGTGGAATGTCGTGTGAAATCGGAGATGTTGCGCATGTTTTCCGATAGAGTGCGACTCTATCGCGACAAGAACAGTTTGTTTTGCACGAATTATTTCAACTTACGTCAATGTTTATCTTTTATTTTTCATCAAGTCTCATATTAACATACACCTTTTCATATTTATGACCTGCAATGGCCTATTTACAGCAGAAAGGGGTAGAAATTACAATGGAATGTAAGTTTTGACAAGGGGCTCTTTAGGGGTTAACACTTCTCTTGGGAAAACTTACCTGTCTCGCGGGTCAATCCACGTCGTTTTTCTACTGTTGTGGTCGATGAAATAGAGTTTACCGTCAAAGTCCCTCGCGTAATCCCATCCGTCGGGCAAGGGTATCTCACCGTTTCGTCTCCTTGGCATATTTCACTGATTAAATCCATTCAAACGAATAACGAAGCACACTCGCGAACTAGCTACACGGCCATGTTGAATACCTCATTACGAGGAGTGACGTCACGTGGGTTCAGCCAATGGCGGCGAAGGGCCCCCACGATGGAATGCGGCGCGTACGCGAACGCGAACACAAAGTTCCGTACGTCACTCGATCGACACGGAATATACATACGACCGCTTTGCGCGAACTCGCGTCGCTGACTGAATCGCGCGGACTCAGCGCCACGTTATCACGACTCATGATAATATCCTACACCACCTACTGTCTAAACTCTAAATGCATTCCTCTTGACCACAGTGTTTACATTTCGTGCCTCCCAATACATTTGATATAATACGACATTTAAGTTAATTCAGCGAAAACAGCTAAAGCGAGCGATCTAGGTAGGTCCATTCAATCTATTTACGATTCCCTTATATCTATATCTACAAGCTCTTATGTCCTATAGGTATATATTATATGGTGCGCATTCCATAGCACATGTAGACATTACGCTATACATAGCTATGCATAATAATTGCTACTTAGATACATAATATTGCGAAGTTTTTCTAGTATCTATAGTCTACAACAACTAGAATAACTTTGAGTCGTATAATGGGGCATGGGGCATATAGATTTCAGTGCCTGTTTCATTGGTCATTTCTGTTAAGATAACCCACAAATTCTCACGAGATTTTCTCGCAAGTGTTTATTGCGCACATATACAAAACAATTATTTCTTAGTCGGGGTTTGAGCGCACGTCCTCAGGATTGACGCACTCTCAGCCACTAGGTTAACGTCAGTAAACTGAATAAAAGTGACGAACGATATGATGATTTACGTCGTAATAAACATTGAATCCATTTTCACTTAATGAAGTATTACAAATCTTTTTAAATTACTGAGATCGGTACGTAAGTTAATAGCTTTTTATTATGTTAATCAATTACCGGCATTAGCGGCATAATTCAGTACTTATTATATATTTGTAAGTTTACAACCATCCGATTTCAATAATTAAACTTTTATTAGTTGTATACTCATGAATAATATTATATAATTTAATTGAAGATAGTAACGTTAACCAGAATATGAGGTTATGAAAAAGCTATTGATTAAGAATAGAAACCTAATATTTCATATAACTTATTTATTTTCCTTCGAACTGTTCGAACTATGACTCATCATAGTTAAAATATTATATAGTAATTCTTCTATATTAATCTAAAAGTAATTATTGGTCTTGCGGTTTCAACTTAACGCATCATCGTTAATACCTAAGCGAATAAAGATGATAACTTTCTAGTTATTTTTAATTAAATTTATTTATTGGTTGGTTATCGAATCCTAATTAGTACTATCAAGATACGAATTTGATATTTTAGTATCGAATATCTCAAATTTATAGTAATAATAATATATACCTAAAAAATTAATATTTTTTTAAAGAAAGCAAACATTTCGAAAACGAAATTAAATAAAAAGTTGTGAATTTGATGTAACTTATTGTATTTGCGTAAAATGGTAATCTTTCTCGTGTCAGTTGTCAAATATGACGTCTGGACGTCTAGCTTCCAAGTTCCAAAACGCAAGACGTCATCTAAAATCAAAACACGACAATCTAATTCGATTTTGGTAAAATAATATAATAAATACGTATTTAATATTAATTAATTAGGTGTAAACCATTAGGAAGTTGGTACTATACAATGCCACAGAGTGATAGTGAAGATTTCGAGAGTGCTGACGAGGGACATTCAAATGCTACTAGAAAAGAAAGAAAAAAGCGCAATTCCTCTTCCAACTACAGTGATAATTTGGATTCCGACTTTGGACAACGGAAACCTCAACCTCAAGAGTCAAATGCAACCGAAAAAGTAAGTTTAGTTTGAATTGCCTTTCATAATTAAACAGCATTGAAGTCATGATTATATTTTAATTTGATTATTAGATATTATTAATGTTCTATAGCTCCTAGTGCTTGTAATGGTTGCACGAAGAGCATGTAATTGAAAACAAATTTTCTTAAAAATATAAATGCATAACCATGATATTTCATTAAGACATTTCATTCCAGGTTGCAACAACAGATGGTTGGGATGATTTTGATTTAGACGAGTCTGAAACAGTAAAAGAAACACATTTAAAGTTTGAAAATGACAAACCTAAAACAAGTTCAGCTCAAGATACTGGTTGGGATGATTTTGGTGACTGGGGTGAAAGTGGTACTGTTAAAAGTGAGGAGGTAAAGTTTCACCATCAATATACAATTATTACATGTATTTTCTGCTTCCTCATCATCACACATTTATATATACTATCCTTCAGATCTTAGTTGTGATTCCATTTTAAACGATAATACTTATAATAATCTGGTTCGGGTAATAGATACTTAAGACTATTTCTCTGTAAAACTAACAAATGTGTTTGTTTTTTAGTGTTTCATAGCAGATTTACATAAAAGACTTTCTATGAAAAAAAGAAAACAAAACTTATATGTAAAAAAATATGTATAAATGTATTTCATTAAAATTCTATTTCCCTTGATAACAAATTATTTAATAATAATTTATCTTGTATTCATACATTTCAATGCTGTTAATAAAAAATACAAATGAAGCGCCCTGAAGAGAGCCGCCCAGTACTGATAAGGCTGATTTGCTATGCTGCATGCCCTCTGCCCCATTTGGGGAGATATAAGTAAAAATGCAAGTAAATGTTGCAATAAAGCACAATTTCTATTGAATTTTTGTACCAAAAAACAAACCTCTTTCTCCCTTCTGGGGGTGTAGAATGTTGAATGCCTAAGATCTGCATTGAGGTGCATATACATAAATATACTTAAAAATATTTTTCAGATTAAACAAAATACAACTTTAGAGTATAGTAATAATGCACAAAACCAGCCAGTTACAACTAAAGAAACAGAAAAACAAATTAAAAGTGATGGATGGGGGTGGGGTTGGGGTGTTGACTCGCTTCTTAGCTCTGCCACCGCAGGAATTAGCACAATTACAAGTCAAGTTTCACAGGTAATGGAGAAACATTTTTATGCATCTGCAAAAAAAGTATTGTAACTATTGGTACCAAAAGTAGGAAATATCATGTATGTATCAATACATTTACTTTTAGATGTAAGTACTAATGACATAAGCCATCTAATTTGCAAGGTACCTAATTTGATTTTTTTTTGAAACATAACTCAATTTATTCATATTCTAGGTAATCATTTAGTTAGTAAATTAATGGTCTAATTTAATTTATCTATTCATAACATTGTTTATCAACTTGAAAAAAAAATATTGCAGGGTATTTCAACTGTCCTTGAAACGGGTATTGGTGCCCCAAATCCAGAAGAATTAGCTCGAATCACTAAAGAAAAGGCAAAGATTGCAGAGACTGAGGTTTCAGAAGAAAAGCAAGAAGTGACCGATACAACCTTTCAGTTTGGGAGTCTTTTATCTGGTGTTACTAAATTCGTTGAAAATACTGGTGAGTTACTAACTTGCTTACTTTGTTTCTTAATTAATAATTTTAATTCAGTAAAATAGGTGTACCTGTTAACATTAAGTCGGAAGAGAATGAAGTCACCATTGACACAGGGATGTCCTTGGTGTGGTGACTAGTATTTGTTCTAGTAAACATGTTTTTAATACAAATTTATAACTTTTTTTTTGGGTTTTCCAACAAATTGTACACAAAAACTCTATTGACTGACAGAGTTCAGGCAACTTTGGGATCAAAAATTGTATGAGAACTTAGTGCAAGTTCTCAGTTAAATTCTCGTCTGTATGCTCAAAAAATCTGCAATAAATATATGAATTCAAAAAAGCCACTTTTGTGTTTATGTTGTTTTTGTTATTGTCAGCTTTTTTATAAAGGAAAACATTGTGATGAGAGTGTAATAAAAAAAATCACAAACATTCGCTAACATCCCAGCTTTGTGATAATATTTTCTGTACTATTGTTAAAAAGACTGTTATCAATTAAAGGACTGAGTACTTTAAAAATATTAATCCATTTCAGGTACAAAAGTAATCTCAGGTGGTCTAGATACCCTAGAGGTTATTGGTAAAAAAACAATGGAGGTTCTTCAAGATGGAGACCCCGGATTGGTCAAGAAACGGGCAATGCTTGGTCTTGAAACTGAGAAGCCCATACTCTCCCAAATACTAAGAGAGGCAAAGGAAAGGGGAGATGAGGAAGATAAAATGAAAGAAGCCAAACGGGAAGCAAAGGAGGTCCATTATGAGTCGCTGTTTGATGATTTTGAAGGTAATTTATGACTCCTGTAGGTCAAAATCCTTTTTCATGTACAAGAGCCATACTTTGCGCTACGTCTCTGCACCTAAAGGCTGGCGACGCACACGCGATGCTCCTGGTGACGCACACGCGAAGCTCCTGGCGAAATTTCTATCACGCGTGCACGAGACAAACGTGTTTTTATTAAAATATTTAAATTTAATTAAATAAATAACGTTAGGTTAAAATTAGTGACGTCATTTCTTAAATTTTTTATAATTGGTCGAACAGTTCGTTAGAGCAGAACAGCGTACGACATTCATGCCTGAGGTCGTAGGTTTGATCCCCGGCTTTATATATACATTTTATGGCACATACAAGATGTATTCTTTATCTCTGCAATATGATCTCTTCCTTTCCTATAATAGAAAATAAATATAAAAGAAAATATAAATATTAGGGTGGTCCTTATTTTTCGACTTTTGAATTATCCTCGGGGCACTTTCTCATTTGATTATATACCTCTAAATATGAAATACGTGTTTTTTTGTTTTTGTTTTTGTTAAGATTTAGAGGTCGCTACCAGCTGTCAAAATTTTTACAAATAAAATATTTTTTATATTATTAACAGTCAATTAGATACCAGTCTTGATGTCTCTAAATTGAGTGACAGACAAGCAACTATGGTCGTGACATCTACTTTGAAATGTGCAGGCTGTGGTCCATCAGAATTTAATGTCAATAGATCTACTATGCGTCGGTAATGGGTCCAAAATCGCAAAGCTGTGCAGATTCGCTCAAAAGCGAGTTTAAACCTAATTCGTCATTAACAATCCATTGGTAGGGTAAACTTCTAGAAGATATTACTGGACACAAAACTAAAGATCGGCTGCCAATTTTGACATCAGGATATGGAGTTTATCAACTACTCGCTGTTCCAAAATTGGAACGTGGAACAAGCGAAGCTTGTCCGTCCAGCTGTCTATGAAGCTATAAAGTCATGGAATTTGAGCTATAAAGTAAAATGTTAGACAATGTTTTGACTCTACTGCTGTAAATACCGGCTTAAGGCGTGGAGTATTCGTCCTTCTGGAGCGCAATATGAATAAAAATAAGCTTTGGTTTGCTTGTTGTCACCACATAATGGAAATTATGTTGTCAGCTGTAGTGGATCACTTGCCCCATCTAGTGCTCCTGATATACAATAATTCAAAAGATTTAAGAACAATTGTAACACTATTGACCAAAGCGACTTCAAATCAATAACAGCGTATGACGCTGAGGCAAATATTCTTGCAGAAGTGGCCGCAGACAGGATTTCGTTTGCATAAAAGCAACTTCAAGTACATGAACCTCGAGATGACTAAAGAGAACTGTTGAATCTTACTATCATTTCCTTAGGAGGTGTTCCTGACAAAAGCGTTTCATTTCAGAGACCTGCTGGTCTTCATCGAGCTAGGTGGATGGCAAGAGCCTTGTACAGTTTAAAAATGTATTTATTTAAGCATCAGTTTAAGCTAACGAAGAAGGACGAAAAAGCTGTGAGAAAAATATGTATTTTCAGTAGTTGTAGAGTCAGTCAGCACCAAGAAACGACTTACAATTATTAATAGACTTAAGGTCTTCAACAAAAATATAGCTACTGATGCGCTGATAAAGATTTTAAATAATTTGTAATTTGTCAGAAGACATAGTTTCGCTTGCGTTTTTCGATGACGAAGTTTTAGTTCAAGAAAAGAAAAATATAGTAGAAGTACTCAAAATTTAAGGCACAGAAGATTGCTTAAAACGAATAAACCTTGGCATCGCACATATCGACAAAAAAATAGAAAACTTCGTGAGTAGTCATTCCTTAAGATTCTTCCAGACCCTAGATTTCTCATGGTGTTTTTTTTAAAAGACGTCGAAACCTGGAACGAAAACGCTGATTATATAGCTGCCAAAAATATCGTTCATTCATTGCGAGTAGTGAACGACATAGCTGAGAGGAATGGAAGAATATAAAAAAATAATTACCACAAATGAAGAACAAAAGCAATATTTGCTTTTGATGGTAAAAGAGTATAGGATAAAGTACCCTAATACTAACAATTCAACCCTTATATCTTTAAAATAAACAAATCAGATATCTATATAATATCTTAATTAATAACAATAACAATAATTTCGTAACATTTTTAAGACCTGGGTATAAAAATAAAGAATTCTAACAAATACAGATTTTCAATTTTTATTTAAAATTCAAACCTTGGTAGCGACCTCTAAATATCATTTAAAAATTTCAAAAAAAATACTGAAACCCTTTTTTATGGTATATATCCAAATTACGTGGTGCCCCGCGACATTAAAGAAAAAAATTTTTTTCTTAGGAATAAGGACCACCCTAATAAATATATTGCTTAGTTATGCAATGAGATAACCAAAATTACAATTAATAATAACGTGACTGTTCTCCCTCCGTACTGGTTTAAAACTGTGTTACGATAGAAAAGCCTGTAGCCCAATGAACCACCAGAAATATTATTTTGATAGTACAAAAAATAATTATAAAAAAATTTCTAAACGTAATTTAAAAAAAACTAGTCATTACCAAAAGAGCGAGAGAGACAACAAGCAGCATTATTTTTGATATATTATTTTTAAATTTCAGGTCTAGTTCACTTAGAAGCATTAGAAATGCTCTCGCGTCAGGTGAGCATGCGTATAGAGGAACGCCTGCGCAGCTCCGACCCCGAGAAGAGACAGGATATCAAAGAAACATTACAGCAAGTTGCAGGTAATGGTATACTGGAAATAAAATTATCATATAATATCCATAGCGTTAAATAAGCTGCATCATGAGCACACCCCACTTACACACCCTTACGTACACACCATCACACAACACACCCGAATTAGGTACTACTTCAAATATATTTAAATTTCTATTTAAATTTCTCCTTTCGTGAAAATTTGACCCTTTTTGTATATGTATTCCATCTTTGGTTATATCTTAAGTATATTTTTTTTGTTATATATATTTACTAGCCGTTTCCCGCCCGCTTTTCTGGGCGAATTAAAATAGGAAATAAATAAAGTTTTATGTTTCATTATTATTTCTTTTTCATATTTTTATTATTCTTCTTTTTGAGGCTCTAGGAAGCCTCCCCGAATGTTTCCGCGGTGAATTCCGTATGTATAAATTTTCATAAAAGCAAAACAGCAATAAAAAATGAAGGAACGTTGGAATTTAAAAAATAAATAGCCATAAACCATCTAGATCAGTGGTTTAGGCGTGAAGGATCCTCAAACGAAGATCATTTTTCTTATATATATAATGGTATCGATCGCTTATACGAGTACTGGGAATAAATAAGGCGCAACTGCGTTTCTCTGTGAATACAAAAGATTTATTTAAAAAAGAAATATCTATAAATTTACATTTAATAAAAAATATATATTTACAAATTATTCACTCACCTGTGAATACAAAAGAAACAACATTTAAAGCCTATATTCTAGGTTTTATAAAATAAAATAATATAAAGAAAAAATTAAAACATCTTACATCTATTATGTCAAGTGACAAATAAAACATCGTCGATCAGACGGCAAAGAAGAAAAATAAAATATAAAAGAGTTTGTACGTCCTCCTGATGTGACGTCACACATTTTTTACTGCGCCGGCGCGTGAGGTAGCACTTGTCGAAGGTCTCGCAAACAACCGACGTGCGGAACGATAGAAAAGCGAGCGAGCAGAAGTTAAATGACGTTGCATGAGAGACTATCGCATAGCGAGAATGCTAAATTATTAATAAATATAGATCAAGTTCGTAAATTTTTAAAAATTTTAATTCACATCCAAACTTTGCGTTTTAGTATTTAAAATTTTAACATGTGACGTCACAAAAGTATTGACCCCCCCATGCCCCTTGTCACACGATGTCACACTTCGGTGATACCCTCCCTCCCCATTAACGTGTGACGTACTTTATGGATGGCCCCTAAAACTAGTTTGCTTACAAAGGACACACATATATATATATTTAAAAATAATGAGATAGAAAAATAATTGTGTTTAAGTGTAAAGTATCTGAAATAAAAGGCTATTATTATTATTATTATTATAAAACTATGTAAGTATAAGCTAAGATTAAAATCTATTTTTCTAATAAAACAGGGGCACGCTGACCTGATGTTAACTGATACCGCTACACATAGACACTTAATGCTAGAGGGCTCCCGAGTGCGTTGCCGGCCTTTAATTAGAGATCAATTAACCTATTTAACTGCTGATAGAGGACAAACTTTGTTTTTAATTTATTTTATTATTATCAATTACTGAAGCTGTGGATAATGGTGTAATGGTTGCAGCTCGTTGTGTAAAACAAAAAACTTGGCGATCAAAGAGTGGCGGAGAGTTTATTTCCAGTTCTTCTCTTCCGTTCTACGCCCTTGATTTGAGAACTGTAAAATTAGAAGCATTTAATGTATATTTCTTTTTTGACGTTCATAAGTGTACATTGTGTTACCTATATGAATAAATGATTTTGACTTTGACTTTAAAAACACATTTAACCGAATGTCATGGGTGAAATTGCCGGCGAAACAATTTTTTTTCGGAGGTATTTATACCTCTAGAGAGTGCCGGCAAATCAAACAATAAGCTTAATTTATTTTGATATATTTCAGAACTCTGTGAGATGCCAGAGGAAGATGAGGATGATGATTATGAGGAATCTGGTGATCTGTCGAAAGAGGATGTGTTCCACGAACGTTTGCAGAGGGCAACAAGGGATATCGGTCTGAAATTGCAGTTCCAACCGCTTATAAAGTAAGTATTAGATGGTAACTGCGTTAACCGCAAATTCGACCCACGTGGAGCACTGTTCTCACCTCTGGGCGGGGGCTCCCCAGTACCAGCTCCCCAGGACCAATCCCTCTCCGAGCGGCTTGATCCTTTGGCGTTGCGTAGAGATGTGGGGTCACTCTGCATCTTCTACCGCATTTACCATGGAGAGTGTTCAGAGGAGTTGTTCGGATTAATACCTGCAGCTGAGTTTCATCATCGGACGTCGAGGCAGAATACGAAATTCCACCCGTATCACCTCAACGTCAGCCGTTCCACAACTGAGCATTTTTCAAGGCAGTTTTTGCCGCGCACCACCACTTTGTGGAACCAGCTGCCCACTGAAGTATTTCCGAACCAATTCGACTTACGGTCCTTCAAGAAAAGAGCGTACCAATTCTTGAAAGGCCGGCAACGCACTTGCGAATCTTCTGGCAATGTGAGTCCATAGGCGGCGGTATCACTTAACATCAGGTGAGCCTCCTGCCCGTTTGCCTCCTATTACATAAAAAAAAAGAAAAAAAAATAGGTGTCAGTCAAGGATGACAACTTTCGACTGACACGAACCGGAAATGGTAGGTGCTGTTCCGGCGTAATGGATCAAGCATATGCAGTTAGATTTTGAACCACTGGCGTGTGCGCACTCACTTTTAACCTTATACCATACTAAATTTACTCATTTAGCAATTGCTTTGAGATCACAGCAAGATTATACGAGAAAGCTTTTAGATTACAAATATGTTAAACTTGATACAGAAAATTGGTTTGACAGCTCTACAATAATAATACAATAATTTCCAGACAGTACACGGAAACCTTAACCTGGCTGGAATCCAATGAGCTAAACGAAAAGGCGATTTATAAACGCGCCGTTAGCGGGCTTGCGCACGCGACGGCGTGTTGCGTGGAACTGTATCACAAAACTGGGGAAATGCTGCTTGTTAAGCCAAGAAGGTCTACCGCGGATGAGGCAGATGCTTTGACTCAGTGAGTTTTATTATCTTAATATATATAAATTACGTGTCAGGTTGTTTGTCCGCTATGGACTCCTAAACTACTGAACCGATTTCAAGCAAATTTGCACACCGTGTGCATTTCCATCTAACTTAAAAGATAGGATAGCTTACATCTCAATTTATACCCATATAATATTATTTTATTGCAAATATTTGTTGATTATTTGATAGTCACAATTCTAACAGATGGCGCTGTGTTAAAAGTTTCACATAAGCTACAATTTAATGGCATAACCACAAAAAAAGCATGGTCCCCATGGGTCCCCATGACGGGTGTTCTCCTACCGTTTCCCTTGAATAGGTTACTACTATGTAATATAACAAAAACCTTAACCACAGCAACGCTTGGCCGGTCTGCTAGTATATTCAATATATTATGTTATATATACAAATTATATTTCAAATAAGGATCTCGTGTTTAAAGATTTTGAATTGTTCAACTATGTATTGTTTGAATAAAATCCTTTACTACTGAAACTACTGAAACAGATTTGTTCTTTGTTGTTACTGTTAAAAGCTTTGGAAATTAATTTAAATATTAATAATTTCTGATTGATTAACAAAATAGTTTTAGTTGGGCCCATGTAATAGTAGTGTAATATACTGAATAACAGTAATTACAAGTAACGAATAAAGAAAAATAAATGAGTGGTGCTACAAGATTTTTAGGTCTGTGCCTCAGATTTCTGTATATGTTTATATCAATCTAATAGGTAAGTAGTGATCAGCCTGTGCCTGTCACACGCCGTCGACTTTTTGAGTTTAAGGCAAGCCGGTCTCCTCACGATGTTTTCTTTCACCGTTCGAGCGATTGATGGAATAGAAAGAAAGTACATTGGTGCACAACCGGTAATCGGTGTGTGTCAGGCACAGAAGGCTGATCACCTAATTATCTAATAGAAAAGATCACAAAACAGCTAGAAATCTGATAAACTCAAACTCAAACTTATATAATAATAGATATATTAGCTTATTAGATAATTAATAGAAAAAAAATTAGCTTCAATTTGACATATAATTAATAAAAATAGGTTATAAACGTATAAATTTATCGAAATCATACCTGTTTACACCTGGTTGCAAAGAGGTGCGGCCAGGTGCGCAACGGCACCCGTGATTTTTTAGAATCTTCATATTAATTACCGTGATGTAGACGTTATTTTATTTAAATAATAAATGAACGAAATTTTTTACCAAAAATCAATTAAAAATAATTTAATTAAAAATAATGGCGGCCAAATTTTGAAAGCCACCCCCTAGTAAATATATATTCTCTTAATTATAAATAAACATAAAAATTTGGTTTTAAACAAATAGTCGATGAGCGCACCAATCCTGCAGCGGGATCTTAGACCATGAGAGGTTGTAAGAATGTATTTTTTTTAAATTGCAACCATTACTCGTTTACCGAGAGTTTTTTTCCCTCTGTCTCCTTTGCCGATCAGTAGGGATGTCTACCTATTCAAATTTAATGACGTGGAATAAGTGATACCTGTATCTTATATTCCATAATAAACATATTTTATTTTGTTGCTCCAAAGAATGAAACAATAATAAAAGTTGATGAAATTAAAAAATATAAAAATGTAATTTCAGATTAACCGTAGTTTTGACGAAACACGTCAGCGAATTGGCGACAATATTTACCGAAGAGTTAAGCAAGAAGCAAGGAGAAGATAAGGAGTCCGTAAACAACTATATAACCAACGTTTTCTTGGAAGTATGTTTAACTGGATTATTTAACTATACTCTGATTTTTAATTCCGTAGAATTCTGACATTTGATTAAAAAATATCCACCGAAAAGGTATTTTTTATGTTTTACCTACAAAAAGGTATATCTAAATATTTACTTACTCAAGTGACCTAATACAAAAATAACAAATATTTTAATATCACGAATAATATATCGAATTAACTTTAATTACTTTATTTTATTCTTGAGCTGGCACTACTTCCAGGTTAACCGTAAAACCTTTTAAAAAAAATGTTATTTTTACTTGTACGTTTTTTCCTGTTTGTGATGAAAAGGAACGGAATTACCATTTGCCGTTAACCCACTTTTAATGTAGAGCACCGCACTTAATAAAATGTGTACATTGACTAAATTATAAAATTACTTAAAAATATACTTGACAAAAATGTGTAAAAAAAAAATCCACAGATTACAGAATTTGAGTGTCCTTTTATTATGAGCCCTCGCTTTTTTTTATAAAACCTATGTCCGTCCATGGACACCCAATGCCAGAGGGCTCGCGAGTCCGTTGCCGGCCTTATAAGAATTGGTACGCTCTTTTCTTAAAGGACCCTAAGTAAAATTGGTTCGGAAATACTTCAGTGGGCAGCTGGTTCCACAGTGGTGGCAAGAACCTTGAAAACGAACGTGGAAATTCAAAATAATTGTAGCCTCTAAGTATTCTCAATAGCATGGAATGTAGGTAACATTCCACATCCAGAATGTCATTGATTCCAATCTTGCCGTTCCATTTACACTTTGGAATCAACTAACTGTATAACGAGGGGAAACAATTAAAATTATTTTTTCTTTTTCAGGCTGGAAACAGTTCAAAGTACATACAAAATGCATTCCAGTTAACCTTGCCTATTATACAAATTGGTGCCGTTTAGTCTAAAAGTTATGTAATAAAAACCCAGTGAATCATCTTTTATATATGGCTGAAGGTATGGTGAACAGTTCTTCCAATCTAAAAGGAGTTTGACCCAGTCTAACCAGTGAAGGACCCAGTGGTTTTTTTGGGAATGGAATCTCGCTGTTATCCACAAGGGCCTTGACAGAATGGGGTTTTCCCACGACTTGCACAAGGGCGGCTCCTGCGAGACTCGGACCTCGGCTTGGGCCGTCGCGGGGTTGTCAATCGCCTGAAGGCTGAAGGGCAGGTCGGAAGCTCACTGGTGTAAGCGAAGTACGCACTAAAGGACCTCGCCCTCCCCGGTGAAGGCGGTTTTTCCCTAATCTGATTGAATGGATTCTATTGGTTATGGTCGTGAAGTATATGTGGTCGGCGGGAAATACTTTGATAGCGCGTTTTAGAGTGTGACGTCATCGCTGTGATTGTAGCTATATATTGTCGGTGTCGCTACAAATTCTTATTTGAAAGGTTAATTGAGTACAAATGCATTTTATATGATATCAGTCTTGATTTGACGTAAGTTCACAGGGTTTTTGTTACGGAGTAAAATATATGATAAATGTATTTAATTGTTTTTGTATATTGAATTGCTTTTAAATAAACTATGATGCGTTTTTGTTGGTTTTATTTGGGTTTGGTATAATGAGAAAGAATTTAACATAACAAATATACATTGCAAAATATTCTTAATTTGAATAGTGACAGACGAAATGGCGCGTTTGTTTGTGATTGGACTAGCGAAAGTTTCATGTCAATTGTCAACGCGTAGTCTTTGCGGAACGATCGTGGGACTTGAAGCGATGAATTCAGACGTAGGATAGAAGAACAGTAACTGTAGGTGCTCTGAAGACAAACATTCTGCAACCCAAAGTGCCGCTTGGCAGCGTGGCAGTCTTAACTACGACAGCAAGAGAGACGCAACACGACACCAGCGCCGCCAACTACGAACTAAACTGGGGGACACACCCCACTTGCAACTTGCGCTTGCGCTTCTATCCTACGTTTTTTATTCCTTGGTGGGAAAATGCCGCATACCCTCCCGCGGCACAGTTGGACCTGGTGGAGAAGGGTTATGTGGGACTCGCTGTTGTGCATACCCACTAAAACCCCACGGCGCCACCAGCAATCGCCCGGGGCACGGTAACAGCGTAGCCTTGTCTGCATCCAGCCACGCATCAGCTAGTTAATATCACGGTCCTCTACGGCCTCGAATGATCTGGAATGAACCTTGGCACAGCAAGGGCCTTTCACATCGGCCAATTCACCCTGTTTTATAAAGCTGGGGGAGGCCGGGTACAATGTGCAATGCGTTAGCATCCCTTCTTTTGGACGCATGAACCCCTGACGTGAATTCGTTGCTTCAAGTCGCAGCAACGCAATTTTTTTTTGTCAACACTGTTACGTTATAGTTCCACAGTGAACATACCTCTTACGACGACGCAGACGGTTGACGTTCTATTGTATTTAGGTTCTTAATAACAACGTCATCGGCTGTTACGACTATCGGATTTTACGACCAAATATGAGTAGTCCCTTCGATGTCGTTATAACAGATTTTGACTGTATTTTAATCGCCACGCTGGTTCTCTTGAATACTTTATTAAGTTGCGCCATTGTCATTGGTTTTGAATACCTTCCAGAGTTATTTTTATAACTAAAATCAATTATCAAATTGCAAGACACTCGTAACAAAGCTATTGTTAAACAAAATTGTCACCTGTGTTGTTGACAAATGAAAGAATAATATGGACATGTCATACATTTATAACTAATTATTATAATAATAAATTATTATTTAATTTCCGGAGTATAGGTACTCTTTTTTAAAACAATTAGAGGTTTATCCCTGGAAAGACCCCCACCGAGAGTCGATTCCACAGTTCACAACTAAACTCTCTTGTGAGGCTGACCGTGGAAGACTTCCAGCCATCAGGATGATGCTGATGAAATTTTGAGTTAATACGACTTGTACAAGGCTTGTATTGAAACGAGGCAGAAGAGATCAAACCAAACAACTCTTCAGAATACTCTCCACACTTTGTACAAATTGTAGATGGTGTCTATATCAAAATTATTCCGTTATTAAAGTTCTGAAAACGATTCCAGAAGAACTACTGAAATGCCTGGACCAATGATGACATAGAAACTCCGTGCCTCATTAGAGTCTTACAATACACATGAACGGATTGAAACGCCTTTTTTACAATATTGGAGAATTTGAACCCAATCGTGGTGATATCCATATAAAACTAGCATACATTATTAGCTGCCATATGTTGAAGGGTTAGCAATTTTGGTATTTCGTAACATGTGATGCGGTTTCAAGCATTCTCAGAAATAATATCAAAAGCTTTTTAACGTATATCAAAATATTTTTGAACACGCGTTATTATTACTAAATTCAAAGGTAATTCCGCAGGTTGCTTCCTATTAGACTCAATACAAGACTCCCTCTTATCTTAAAAATGAATTCAAATCCTCAGGTCCTTATATGTTACGCTCCTCTAATAGATGCTTATTGGAAATTCCATCTCTCTGCTCATCCTCCTTAGGCAATTCGTTTAGGATCTCCGCCATTAAGTTGTGGAATAGGCTGCCCGACTCCATACGATTGGCTACCAACCTAACATCTTTTAAAACTCTTCTGCATAAATATTTCTTAACCATATCCTATTCTGCTCAAACGTGACTTTTGAAATCTATTTCTTATTCTTTTGTATTGCATCGCAATTCATGAATCCGTGTAATTATTTTGGTTTTTACTTTATTTTTTTGTATTATTTTATTATTCTATATTTTTAATAAGATTTGGTTATGTACTTCTTCTTCATATTTTTTTTTAGTTTTTTCCTTTACTAGGGTTGCCTGGAAGGAATCGCTTGTTAGCGATAAGGCGGCCCGTTGCATCCTTTATAATTTGTATGTATTAAGTTATTTATAACATAACATTCAATGTTCCTGCCAGGTCTCTACGCTCGCACAGAACTTTTAACCTTCCGACTCCCAGAACTAACAGTGAGTTCCGCGACCCTCTTCACATGATGTGTTCTGCTTTGGATTCTGCCAACATCATAGACCAATTTTCGGACTCCTCTACTGCTTCATGTAAAAATAATTTTAAACAATTGTTAATGTCCTAATCCTTGTAACTTTCTTCTTTATTATAGCTACCAGTATGTTTTTTTTAATTTTTTTTATTTATGGCTCTGGCACGATTGTGCATTAGCCAGCGTCAAGTATAGGATTTTTTATAATTCGTGCTTGTCTTTTAGAAATTCGACAGTGTCCTCTATGTACGGTTTAGGCACTCGTCCGGTACCGCACAACCCTCCCAAAGGCCGAGAACAAATTTAAATTAAATTAAAACTTGCCCTCGAACCGGGAATCGAACCCGGTACTTAATAAGACCGCTAGGCTATCAGGCCCCCTACCAGTATGTTTGTCGTTCTCCGGATTCATATTTTGTGCTGTCATGTTTTGTTATGCTTTGTTCTGTATCATATTTTTTATCAGTGAAACTTTTTGTGGATACATCCAATGTGTTTATATTATTTTTAACTTTTTTTTATTATTGTATGTTTTTATAGTCATGTATCGGTTTTGTTTCCCAAATAAATAAAATAAAAAATGTGAAAATAATTATGGGTTAATCACAAGTCAAAACTAAACTAACATTTTGTTTGACTTGAACAATCAATTTGTTACGCAAATCTACAAGTCATGCGCCACCTGGCTACAAGGGTTGAAATCAAGATCCTACGACTGGCTAATTTAAAGTTATCGTTCAAAAATACAATGTTACCCGAAGTATTTATGAACCAATTTGAGAGGATGAAAAAGAGAACTCCTTCAAGAAAAGAACATACGGTTTTAAAATGGGTATCACTTAACAGCAGCTGAGACTGGTGAGTCTCTGAACCGTTAGCCTCTGTTCTATAAAAAATGATTATGTATTTATTAAAATATGTATTATGTACATTAATCATAATTTGGATTCCTTTATATGAACTGCCTGATGTAGGTATTACATATGAAAATAGGCGTTAAACCTAGCTTATAGCTGCACTGTTTAGATATATATTTATTAATATACAGCTGTAATATACAAACATAGTACTTATACACTTTTTAAGGTAGTTTTTGCCGCGCACCATCACTATGTGGAACCTGCACACTAAAGTATTTCCGTACCAATTCTTTAAAGACCGTCAACGCACCTGCGAGCCTTCTGGCAATGTGAATGCCCATGGGCGGTATCACTTAACATCAGGTGAGCCTCTTGCCCATTTGCCTCCTGTAACATAAAAAGAAATTCCGAACCAATTCGACTTAGGGTCCTTCAAGAAAAGAGCGTTCCAATTCGTAAAAGACCGACAACGCACTTGCGAGCCTTCTGGCAATGTTAGTGTCCATGGGCGGCAGTATCACTGAACATCAGGTGAGCCTCCTGCCCATTTGCCTCCTGTAACATAAAAAGAAATTCCGAACCAATTCGACTTAGGGTCCTTCAAGAAAAGAGTGTACCAATTCTTAAAAGACCGGCAACAAATTCGCGAGCCCTCTGGTATTTAGTGTCTATGGGCGGCATACTTAACGTTAGGTGAGCCTCCTGCCCGTTTGTTGTAAAAAATTGTAGTTGGCACATATTATTTTTAGTTATACATATGTATTTGGAAATTATCGCACGATGGTACGTAACATTTATTATGAACTCTCTAACGCAACAGCCACTCTGTATTCATATCAATAGAACACCATATTTGGTAACGACAGGAAACTCTTAGCTGAATGACAATCGAAATCAGTCGGCAATAAATCAAACGCGTGCGCATTCTATTTTAACACCTTTCAAAGGTGCATAACGCATCTGTTACTAATCCGTTCTAAGTTTTGGCATGTTTTTAGAAAAAAGTTAATTTGACTTACGTGTTTGTATATGTATTTGAAAATTATGATTTACAAGCTTTTAAAGGTACA